ATTGTTGGTGAGGATGTGGAGAAATTAGGACCCTTGTGTACTATGGGTAGGACTATAAAATGATGCAATTGCTATGGAAAACTGTATGCCAGTTCCTCGAAAAATGAAAAATAGAACTACTATATGATCAAGGAATTCCAATTCTAGATGCATATACAAAAGAACTAAAAGGTCTCAAGAGATATATGCACACTTAAGTTTATAGCAATGCTATTCACAATAGCCAAATGTCCATTGACAGATAAATGGATAAAATATGGTATACACATACAATGACTATATCCTGTCACATGCTACTACATAGATGAAACTTGAGGACATCATGCTAAGTGAAATAAGGCAATCACAAAGACAAATACAGTATAATTCCATTTATATATCTAAAATAGTTAAACTCAGACACAAAATAGAATGGTGTTTACCAGGATCTGAAGTATGAATATGTATTTTCAATTCCCTTATACTAGAGGACCGGTGCACGAATTCGTGCATGGGTGGGGGCCAATTGGGGGAAGGGCCAGCTGGGGGGAGAGGCCGTGGGCAAGTTGGCTGGCCAGCCCTGCCCCCTGGTCAAAGGGACAATTTGCATATTAGCCTTTTATCATATAGGATTGTCAAGACTGGAATTGCTAGGTCATATGCTAATTTTAACTTTTTGAGAAATAGCCAAACTGTTCCAACGCAGCAGCACCAGTTTACAGTCCCACCAATGTTCCAATTTGTCGACATCCTCAATACTTATCTTTTTTTTATTAAAGCAATCCCAATGGGTATGAAATCATATTTCATTGTAGTTTTGATTTGCATTTCTCTAATGACTAATTATGTTGAGAATCTTTTCATATGCTTACTGGACATTTGTATCATTTTTTGAGAAATGTTTTTCAAATCCTTTGTTCATTTGTAAATTGAATTGTCTTTTTATTGTTAAAAGCTCTTTAAATATTCTGGATATAAGTCCCATTATACTTTTTAATTAGTGGTATATTTGTTGATATAATTACCACAGCTTTTTATACTATACTTCATTAATTGTGAAAGTATTTTCTAAAATACATTTTTAGGGATATCAAATGTCACCTTAAATATAAATTGCATATTTTAAAATTTAAAAAGCAACCACTGCTTTTTCAAGCAAATGAATTCCAAACCAAGGAGTGGGAAGTATGGGGACCCATAGGTTAAAAGATTAGAGATACATGCAATGTATGGACTGTCTTTGTCTCCTAACTTGAACTGGAGAAAAAAAGAGACAACTTAAATACTAACTAGATAATTACTAAGAACATGTTAACACTGATGGTATTATGGTTTATGTAAGAGGCTTTATCTTTTAGACATACATAGCAATTGCTAAGACTTACTTCAAAATAAATCCAATTGGGAAGATGGATGGCATGCAGATAAATCAAGACTAGCCATGAACTGATCATGTTGAAGTAGGTTCATTATACCATTCTACTTTTGTGTGTGTCTGAAATTTTCCATTTAAAAGTTATAAAGCACTACTGTAATGTCCACTGTGTGTAAGAAGAGAGGAAGCTGGCAGCAACTAAATACTACCAACTAAATTTTTATTAAGAATTCCCAGTCATCTCAGAGCAAGAGCTCTGGGAAACTTAATAATGAGGGTGTGACATATCCATGCAGTTATTTGTCAATGTAATACCACCAGTCACAGGCTAAGTAGCTGTATCAACCAACCATGATACACACAATAGCACAAAGCACCAGCCATCAGCACCACTCCACACCTACGCAGTTCATCTCACCAGAGTTCACTCCAGGACCAGAACTGCCACTGGAAGAGTATAACTACCCCCACTGGCTACAGAAAATACTACCTTCAGGTAAATACATGTCTATTATAATTTTATAGCAATCTCCCAGGCCACCTCATACTCACCCAAATTGCACATCCAATAGACACATGGAAGACAGTTGGATAGTTTTTAGAAAGTTAAACATAAATTTCCAACCAATGTAACAATTACATTCCTAGGAATCTACCTAAGAGAAATGAAAACATACGTCCACACAAAGACATGTACATAAACATTCATACCATTCATAACAAAAATGTAAACAATCCAACGTCCATCAACTGGTGAATGGATAAACAAAATGTAGACTATGCATACAGTGGAACACTATATAAAGGAACTAAGTACAGGTATATACTACAGCATGGATGAACCTCAAAAATAGACCAACTGAAAGAAGCCAGATACAAAAGACATCAAATTGTATGAATTTCATTTTTATATAGTTTCTAGACAGGGAATATTTATAAACAGATCGGTGTGGATGCCTAGGGCTGGAGCTAGTAGCAGTAATTAACTGCAAAGGAGCATGAGGGGAACTTTTATGGCTGATGGAAATGTTCTAACACTAGTTTGTGATGATGACTGTACAGTCTATAAATTTGTAATTAAATCGTATACTTACGGGGGTGAATTTTATGGCATATAAATTATACTTCAATAAAGCTATATTTTTAAAGTACAGTACAACAAACTCTTAAGAATGACTATTTTAAAGCTCTGGCTGACAACCTATTCATTGAAACTTCAGTACAACGAATATATTATCAGGATTAAGAATATCATTAGCATTTGTTTAAAAACAAAACATGCTATTTTTAAAGGATTCCAAGTACACACATCTCTAAACCTTACTGAGCAAAATATTACTTTTAGCTATGTGTAATGTTAACAAATCACTGTCTGCAGCTTACATTAGCCTTTTCTCTTAGCCACTGTGTTTTCTCCTAATCTTATGCCCCACAGTATTCCTTTTAGTGAAACATCCATTTGTTAGTGCCCAAGTTTTCCATTAGATACTAATTTTCTTAGAATATTTCATAATCTGAAATAAAATTTTAATATATATATTTTTTAAATATAAAATGAGCATTATCCTTTTTTAAAAAAATTTGGTCATTAAGCTACTCACATGCTGCCTCTGATAAGTTTCAAATTTTTTTATTATTTTAAATCAAGCTTTCTTTTCATTATTTCGGTTCAAATTATTTTTTGCTTTAAAATGATCTGATTCTTCTTTTCAGAGCAGTGCTGTCTTCTATGACCAGGCCAGCTTTAATTTCAGTTTGATTCCATCTCTTTCCAGTCCACTGAAAAACCTGTGGAAGAGGATTTCCCTCTAAGCCAGCCATTAAAAAAAATTTAACCAAACACTTTCCCCTCCCCCCCAAAAAATCTCATATGTAATGCCAAGTTCTACAAGGATTAAAGTAAAAAGCTACAGATGAAGTGGAAGAAGAGCCAGCCTGCTTGCTATGGCCCAACCTCAAGAAATACAGCAGCCTTAAGGTATGGCTTAAAAACCAATGTTCTAGGACAAGCAACATTGATTTCTGCACAGCATAAATACAAAACAAATAAAACATACTTAAGCAAAACTCATAAGAAAAACTTGGATATATAAATTAAAATACACGTTTTATAATCTCAATTTTAAAAATAGATAATTATAATGATTTACAAAATAATATGCCTTTAAAATTCCATAAATAAAGACATTGCTTTCAGGAATTTCATCTACTACAACAAACGCTGTGCATCTTTTATCAGAATTTCCCTCCTTATGACATTTAAAAAAAAAAAAGTCAACCAAAGTCAAAAGCCACATTAACACAAAACATTGAACCCAGTGGAAAGTTGTCATATAAATTAGCTGGTCAGCAGGAAATGCCAATTATCCAACAGGCCATTAAGAAAATAGGATGGCAAGAATGCTCTGGTAAAACCATTTATGTAACTGTATTGAGATTAGAAAAACAAACAGCAGCATTATCTGCCTCCAGAATCAGATACAAATCAAGCCAAGTATTCAACCAAAATGGCAACAAATAGTAAGGATAAACCTGGGAAAGGAGCGTGTACTATTACGAATTTTCAAATTTATCTAAACTGTCAAATATAAATCCCTTCCCCCTCAGAAATCAAAGGTAAAGGTATTGTAATATAGAACTTCACATTTTTATAAAATAAAAATAGAAATTATTGCTATATGGTTGTAAAAATGGAGGCAAGAGTTCAGAAATATACTTGTTTATAATCAATTAAATGATGAGCCATAATTTGAACCCTAATTATCACATTATGTAGAAATCACAATCCAAGTATTGTGTCCTCAGTTATTAAGATATATGTTAAATAGTTCACATTTTAAAAACATTTTAGCATTACATTACCAAATTTGATAAAATCTTATCAAAACATCTATGTATTCAATATAAATCATATTGTTAAAAGTATAAACATTTAAAGAAAACTGCTGAGGTGCCAAATAAGTATTTTCTATTAAATATACACAAATTAACATTTAGAACTACATAAATTAATTCTTGCTAAAAGTTGATTCAGGTTTACAAAGGCATACTTTGTGAACTATAATAAATTTCCCCAGCACCACTTTCTTTTTTTTTATTCCAAAATTATTTCATTAGGTTTAACTTTCTTCTGTCATTCATAAGTAAGTTACAGAAGGTTTACAATACGTAGTCTTAATAGTAACATGTTTTTAAAAAAATCTAAGCAAAGTGCACATTAAACTAGCTACAACTACTCAAACTTCTTATCATCAAATAAAAAATAGAACACTTCATTCACTTAAGTCTTTCTGAGGAAAAAAATAGTATACCTTGCTTAAATAAGAATTCCCCAGTAAGGATATTATATAAAAGATTTCCCATGTATTTTATTAAGTTTACTTTCTCTCATTAAAACTTTTTTTAAAAAGTCTAATGAAGAACACATACTTACAATGCCATATTACACAACTACAGTACTGTTAATTAAATAAAGCAGCCCAGTATAGCTGTAAACATTTTAAATGTAGTAAACAAGACTTGGCATGTCTTTTCTCCCTAAAACTTGCCATTACAATGCTCTTTCCAGGGAAATTATTCTTCCTGGATAAGTTTCAGGTATATTTTAGTCTTTAAAAATATTACACTGAAATAATGTGTGAAAAGATTTAGGCATGGCAATTTCACTGAAGCTTTTATTGCCTCTGTTGTAATATGACAGGGATTGTAAGGAACACAATTGAACTTACAGAGATATGCCGGTGATAGTCACTGAAGATAATCTTGATCTCAAGTATTTTTATATGTGGGCACTTCTAATTTTATACACTTTAGTATTTTAAAAGCATTATATTTTAAAATGTGTACCTGTTTTGACATTTGGCAAAGAGGAAACTGTACCTGTGGTTCAGTTTAAAACAAAGAATCAGCATGGGGAGTTTACCAGAATGAAAATGGAAACACTAATGAATTAAAGCAATTCAAGTGCGTGCATGCGTGGGTGCGTGCGTGCGTCTTTCAACCTCTTTCTCACAGACATGCACTCACATGCATGCACACACACACAACCATACGTGTAAGCATTTTTAGTACAGAATATTCCCTGTAACCAGACATTTATCCTCAGAGTAATCATACCACATTAAATCAGTCTTCTTTTCAGCCCTAGAAATAATATTGTTTAATTCTAAGATGCCATCATAGAGTGAACAACCTTAACTTTTATGCTACATAATTATATTCAAAGATTATGTATTTTTGTTTATAATTACACAGTAATTATAAATGTTTAGTACCAAACTGATGACAAATACTATTTTGTTGAAAAGGTCTTACATTTAAAAGGAAAAGTCTGTAAAACCCCAAGGCACTAGGCCATGAACCAATATCAGACTTTTATGAAAAACAATTTATAACAGGGGGAAAAAACGAATGGGATCTCATTTCAAGACACCGCATACTTGAATTAATCTATCTGAAAACAATACCATAACTCAAAATCTTCAAGACAGGAAACAAAATAATACATATATCTTTTAAATTTTTTCATAATTGAAGTTCCTCTTTATATTTACAAATATGAAATCAGGATATACTTGAAAGGGAAGCAGCAGGATTCTTCTTTTTTCTTCCTATTTTTTTTTTTTCAAATAACCAATTCCAGTAACCTGAATAGAAATTTTCAAATTTTTCTTTTGGAAGAATATGATTGGAATATTAATATAAGATCTGTGGGAAACCTTCCTAGTCAACTTCAAAATTATGTAAATAAAAAGTGGTCTTAATATGTCATTGTTCTTAAAATCATTTCCACATCTAAAACGTACTGCTAATCTGAAGTACATTCCTTTGATAATTTCAACATTAGATCTTAGAGAGTGCATGGATACACCAAGCAAAACCTATTCCTGTTAAAGTCCATAGGCATCCAACATTTGAAGTTTTACATTTTTTAACCTACCTTACAGAAATCTTTTAAAAAGCAATAAATCCTCCTTCATGTGTTAGGAAGTGAACAGGAAAATCAGCATTTTCAGCATAAAAGCAGTTCATAGATCTTGTAATGAATATAATACATACAAGATAGAATTCTGCTTTGACGTGAAAACATCAAATTTGAGTGAAACAAAAACAGTAAAGAGACTGAATAATTTACAAAAATAGAAGCCAGATTGGTATTTTGCATCAAGTGCATGCTTGCTGGAAAATCTTTGCTCCTGAAGTATTTGGCAACCACAGTGATTAGCAGTTAAAGCAGTTTCAACAAAATAAGGTCATCAAAAATGGACTATTTGTCTGAAAAAGCAGTACCTATGAGGATTGAACGTCATGGCTCATTCACAACCATTTTCAAAATTTAATTCCTACTATCTTCTTATAAATTAAGAAAATTTCATTTTTGTTCCATGGTGTGCTAAAAAAATAAAATAAACCCTCATGCCTAAATTTAGAATATTGTATTGTGTAGCAATCTAAAACATTCAAAACAAATTAAATAGTTTAACTTATTCAACAGGCATATAAGCATTTCAAAATCATAATGAAATCCAATTATGTGCTGCAGAATGTAGACAGTAGAATCTAACATTATGCAGACATTTTCTAAATAAAAGCTCCCTGTAGGACAACTATATATAAACATAGGTAAGTAGAGTAGGTCTGTGGGACCTTTTGAAATCGAGGGTCTGAAACACAATAAATTTTTCAGGTAGGCACAAGAAGTTATCCTAAAAAATTTTCACGTTGGTTATTTTGACATTTTTTTCATCAGATTCTCTACTCACATCAACAATACATGTGATTTTCCAGGAAAAAAAAAATCCCCCAAACCAAAACACCATTCCAGATCTGGTACACTTAAATATATCACTCTCATTGGAAGTGCTATTAGCATAGTCTTTGCAACTAGCCCAAAGCATATATTTAAGAAGTTTTTATAAATTGTTTGTGATGTTCATGTTTAATTCTTATGCCAAACTGTTTTCTGATGAAGACAGCATTGTGCTTTATGCAAGAATGGAAACCTCAAAATAATCACCATAAAGCTTCTAAGACTTATGGGAGAATAAACTAGGATGGTCCACAGATATAAGATGAAATCCACAATGTAGAATTATAAATGGTTAGAGCGGCCCAGACTAGAAGACAAGCCCAAACCACCATTAGAAGAATGAAATACGATATGGTCCAAGATGTATCCTTAAAGTTTTGTCTCAACCCTCAGTCTGAATTAGGAGGATTGATCTTCAGTTCAGTCCAGCCAGCAGAAATTGACTGTGCAATTTTCCGTTGTATTTATTGTACAGACTATGTACATTCTAGAAGGTTCCTTTAGTGCTACACTGTTGTACTTTTTGTCCCAGCAATCTGAGGGCGTGCAAATTCCACAAAGTCATCAATAAGAACAGGCCATGCTCCTAGGGGGAAAAATATATGGGAGGAAGGAAAGAAAGAAAAGCAGGAATAAGACTAACATTTTAATAGGTTCCTTTATATTTTACCTTCCACATAATAAAGTATCATTATAAATATTCCCATTGATAGGACTTTCAAAATTCAAGCTTTATAGAGTTTCTATGTAAAGTTTTCTTGTATTCTCTCTGCTCTATTATTCTAACACTTGGTCATTTTTCGAGTGATAAGAATAACTCTTCTGGTAATCTATCAATAATACGGTTTGCCTGGCCAGAGTGGCTCAGTGGTTGAGTGTCGACCTATGAACCAGGTCATGGTTCAATTCCTGGTCAGGGAACATGCCCAGGTTTCAGGCTCCATCCCCAGTGTGGGGCATGCAGGAGGCAACCGATCAATGATTCTCTCTCATCTATCTCTCTCTCTCCCCCTCACCCTTTCTTCCTTCCTAAAATCAATAAAAATATTTTTTAAATAATAATAATAATAATAATATGGTTTTCTGAAAGCCACTGAAGTCAGGCCACTGCAGTAATTTGGTTAAAACTGGCAACCTAGGAATGACCATAATATACTGGCATGCTGCCAAGTGCTGAAAGAATAGTGGGTAGGAGGAAACAAATTTTCAGGCATTTTTTGGAAATCTTACAAAAAAATCTTAAGAAAATTAACAGCAAGTATCCAAATCTATCCTTTTCATGATAAATACTAAAAAATTTTAAACTGTACGCCTCTATACATTCACATGCCAACCTCTAAATCAGAAAGTTTTCAGTTTCCTGTAAAGCCTAGCAGCACAATTATCATTCATATGCAAGACTAGGCTTTTCTTACTTTTTAGTGAAGACTATAAATTACAATGAAAAGAGAGAATAAAGACCATCTCTGGTTAGATTATATGAATGGCTCCAAGACACTTTCAAGGAGGCCAAGGTCACTGGAGATTTCTCAAAGAACACCTCTGTCTGTTCAACAATCTCAAAAACAGATCCAGCTAATTTTCAAGGGGGGACTCGGTATGTATGAAGAAGTCAATGTAAATCACTGCCACTTCTAGATAAACAGGTAGTAGATGGTAGCATCATCATCTTTACATGAAGAAATAACAGAAAAGCATTTAATCAGTGGATATTTATTGAATGCCAATAGTACTATAGTAGGCAGCTGAAGTACATTTCAAATTAGACAAAGTCACTAAACTTAAGGAGTTTAATATTCCAAGTTCAGAGATAAGACAAACACATAATAAATAAAAGATATACATATAAGTATAAAAGTACTTTCCTAAGAGAACAGGTTTCCTAAAATAAACTGAAAATCTCTAAACATGAATGAAAATTACTCATGCCTTTCTGGAAGACATGACTACTAAGTTGGTATTTAAAGAAACTATAGATTGATAAAGAAATGAAGGCATTCCATACATTTAGAAGAGCACAAATAAAAGCTCAGAAGAGGGAAATCCAACTCCAAGAAAAACAGAAGTAGACAAGAAGTTCAAAAGTATATGATAAAAGAAGGCAGGTAAAAACAAAAAACTGGAAGGGCAAAACTTTTTATTACCTTCCTCATCATAATTAGACATGTCATCTGCAATCATTGTACTGAAGTCTAGAAGAAGATTCCAAGTATCTTTTGGTATGGATCGTTTATGATGTTCCTATTTGAAAAAAATCCAAATCACTAAAAAGGTTTTTTTTTTTTAAGTCCAGATGATACTAAATACAAGAATGCAAACCAATTTGTGTATAGAAATTTTACTAATCAAATTTCTCATTCTATGTTCATTACATGCTCTGATAAGAGTCAATCATGCTTTAAAATATTTATTTTCAAACAAAACAAAACTTTAGAGAAAACAAGGAACTGCAGAAAACATGAACTTACCAACAAAAATTTATTCCATAAGTCTAAGAATTTAAATCTTCCATTAAGCACTAAATTCCAGTAGGCAATGGCCATTTCTAGATCTGTAATATTAAAAATAAATTATGTCAAATGCCATGAATATCTGTCCTTAAAAACAAAAAAAAACAGGTGAGACCAAAGACAGACTTGAAAAAAAAAAAAAAACACCTAAAAGAAAACACTAACCCGTGTGTTCTGAATACTTACATATTAAAATTCCCTGAAAGAAATAAGCCCAAGGTTTGTATCCTGGGCACCAATGGACAGTCCATCGGGGCAAGAAGAATACCACTTACCTCAAAGGGTGTATCTGAAGTTTCAATTAGATAATGTAATAAGCATGCCTGACTAGTTCATCAGTACTCAAATGTTAATGCATACCAGTATTACCCAACCTCAGCACTTTTGACATTTTGAGCCAGATAATTTTTTGTTGTGGAGGGATGCCCCATGAATTGTAGCAATAGCAGCATCCCTGGTCTCTAACCACCAGATGACAGTATCAGCTCCATCCTATCCCTGGTGGTGACCACCAAAGATGTCTCCAGACATTGTCAAAGGTCCCCTGAGAGATAAAATTGCCCCTAGTTGAGAACCACTGACTTACACCTACAGTTGTAATGCAAAGAATTTCTATATACAATCCTAACCAATTTTCCAAGATGTTAGCTCTCTGATCCTGTCCTCGAGGAGACTATTAATTTTTATTTAAAAATTAAAAATTTGATGAAATTATATAATGCCCATTTAATTATGATTATAGCAGAAAAGGGTAAAGAAGCAATACTGCCACATGACAAAGACGTATTCCTGTCATATGACAGAGAGAAAGACCCATCATTTCTTTCAAGGAACTAAAGCAGTTAAAGTACCAAGCTTTAATGAGTAAATTTACATTTCCAGCTCAGGAAAAATTTCATCCTAAGTAACTTAACACAATGCGGGCAGATCATGAGCATTCTCGTGTTTTCCTATTACACAGTGTTTTACATAAATGTTAAAGGCATGCCTTAAAATTAAACACCCATTGCATTTTGAAGTTATTTATTACATGTTCTTACAAGCTAATATCTTTTTAAAGTATGATATTTTGTAAAATGTTTTTTTGTATTCGTTCAATAGAAACTTATCTGGCCACTGGGTAAAGCTAGCAATAAAACTACTGGTGTGCAATGTGTTAAAAGTCTTTTTAGATATTATCTCCAAAACACTCTTGATAATCTGGGGAATCATGAGAGACTAGGAAGGACTCCAAAAAGACTCACATCCCATCTTAAAGGAAAATATAAAAAGGCCATAAGGAGAAAAAAAATCCCATCTTCATAGGATCTCAACCACTTCAAGGACAGGGACTACATATACGCAAACTGGCAGACTGAAACACACAGCAATTATTGAGAAACTGCTGAATGAATGCCACTTCCTATGGTCCCACGTGCAAATGTACTTACCTTCCTTTAAACTCAATGGAGTTTTTTCCTCCTATCCAAAGATAAGCCCCTAGCACCACTATTCTGGATCCAATACCACCCTGCCTCTTCAAGGAATCTTGTCTATTGTCTTTTAATTTTCCTCCCTTCCTACATCTTCAACTTTGCCTTCTTCTGGCTTTCCCCCTCAGGTTATCAGCTATGTTTAAAAAGTAATTCTTGGGTCTTTCATTACCTTACTAGCTATGCTCCTTCTCCTTCCCTTCACAGATAATCTCCTACTGTGATACGTAATGTGTTCCTAAAACATGTCTGAAAGTCAAACTCAGGTCCCCATGTTTTAAGAGAACTAGAAATATGACACCACCAATTCCCATCACAATTCCTTTTTAATCTTTGTAGTCTGTAAAGCTCTATACCCAAAATTCCTTCCAGGTTCTTTCATTTTGTCCTTTTCTTTACCAACCAATTGTCAAGCTTTAAGTGCAGTTAAAAGTAAAACTGCTGTTATTAGCAAGCAGAACAAGATCTGCTGTTATTAATATGCTTAATAATTTTCTTCTGCACTTCAAATGCATTAAATGTATAAGAACTAAGCTCATTAGTGTTACATTTTTTCTTTTTAACTAATTTTAACAAAATAAGAATGAGAAACAATGAAATATTCAAATAACTGCAAAACATGAGACACCTATAAATGCCCATTTGTCAGCTAATACCTAACCTACGACTCTGACAAGAATAGGAGTGTACATGTCTGATGTTTGAAAGTTCAGGTTGTAAAAGAGAACTTTTTGTCATCTACAGTCATTACCCCATTTCCTCACCTCCCACACACTATTTAATTGTATAAACCAGTCTCTACCTCTGCAACTCACTCCACTAAAAGTGACCTCTGGAGGGTTACCACACCCTTTTGGTTCCCAAGTAAACACTTTTATGTCCTTAATTTACTTCGCCCTCTGCAATATTTGACAGAACAGAGCACACCTCCCAGATGGAACTTCTTTCAGCTTTAATGGTAGCACCTTACTGACTTTCCTCTGTCCTCTCTAGCCTTCTTACTCCTTTTTACAGGCTCCTCTTCCTCCATTCATCCATTAAATGTCGGTGTTCTCTAACACTTTATGTCAGCAATAACCATTTCTACTTCCCTCAGATTTTTCAAACCTTTACCTTTTTTCACACTAATAACTCCTAAATCTGAAACTTCTATCTCTATTTTTCTAGATTCATATATCTAATTGCCTAAGCAGCAGTTCTCAACCTGTGGGTCACAACCATCGGAAAACACATATAGCATATCAGATATTTACATTATGATTCATAACAGTAGCAAAATTACAGTTATGAAGTAGCAACGAAAATAATTTTACGGTTGGGGGTCACCACAACATGAGGAACTGTATTAAAGGGTCGTGGGATTAGGAAGGTTGAGAACCACTGGCTAAGGACATCTTCAAATGGTTAGCCACAAAAAAACTCAAATTCAATAGGGCTCAGACTTAACTCATTATCTCACCTCTACAGACCTGCTATTCCATTTCTCTTAATAAATAGCATCACCCTACAGTGTTTCTCAATGAAACGTCTCATTCTGAGGAACTGTCCTATGTACTGCAGGACATTTAGCATCCCCCTAATGTCAGCAGAAACCCTCAGTCATGACACCCAATAGACATCCCCCACGTTTCCAAATATCCCTTAAGTGTGTTGAGAAATGTAGGGAAACCCCTCTCTTCTTCATTACATACTTCCAATTGAAGCTCTCTCATTCTAACTTCTCCATCTCCACTGGCAAGGCCTATACTAGGGTCATCTTCATGTCTAGCTAAATCACTGCAACAGCTTCATAACCAGTCTCTCCCTCTAGTTCTGCCCTTACTCCTTTTAAAGGATCAACAGTGCTTTCAAATGAAGCTTTCAGGCATATTAATTTGGTGTCACTTCCATGTTAAATTCTTCAATGATTAAAACAACAAGATACCACTACACACCTTTTGGAATGGCCAAACTCCCAAACACTGATAACACCAAATGCTGGCGAAGGTTTGGAGAAACAGGAACTCTCATTCATTGCTGATGGGAATGCAAAATGGTACAGCCACTTTGGAAGACAGTTTGGCAGTTTCTTATAAAACTAAATATATGCTTACCATAAGATCCAGCAATCACACTCTGTGGTATCTACCCAAACAAAGTGAAAACTTATGTCTACACAAACACCTGCCCGCAGATGTTTACAATAGCTTTATTCCTGCCAAAACTTGGAGGCAACCAAGATGTCCTTTAGAAGGTGAACAGATATATTGACTGTGGTACATCCAGATGAAGGAATATTATTCAGTGCTAACATAAAATGAGCTATTAAGCCATGAAAAGACATGGAGGAAAATACATATTAATATTACTAAGTGAAAGAAGTCAACCTGAAAAGGCTACATACTGTATAATTCCAACTGTATGACATTCTGGAAAAGGCAAGCTATGGAGACAGTAAAAAGATCAGTGGTTGCCAGAGATTAGGATGGAGGAAAGGATGAGTAGACAGAGCAGAGAGGATTTTTAGGGCATGATGCTATAATGGTGGATATAAGTCATTACATATTTGTCCAAACCCACAAAATGTACAACACCAAGAATGAACCTTAATGTAAACTTGAACTTTGGGTGATAATGCTTGGGGGTAGAGAGGGGAGGGTTAATAATGGGAGAAGCTAAGCATGTGTGAAAGGAGGTATATGGGAAATCTCTGTACTTTCTGCTCAATTTTGCTGTAAGCCTAAAACAGCTCAAAAATTTTTATTGAAAAACTAGAGGCCTGGTGCACAAATTTGTGCACAGGTGGGGTCCCTCAGGGTGGCCTGCAGGGATCAGACCCCAGCTCCCGTCCCCAGGCTCGCAGCCCCAGCTCAAGCCCCCAGCCTCACAGCCCCAAAGCCCCACTTGGCACCCCGCCATGGCCTGGTGCCGCCTGCTCACCTGCTCCACCATCCTGCCACGGTCCTGCTCTCATCAGAGCCCATCGGGCTGGCAGCACCTCCACTGCCACCCGCTGCCAGCACCATGTTGCTGAAGCCCACCATGTTCTGCATTGCCCCTGGTGGTCAGTGCACATCATAGCAAGCAGTTGAACTCCAGAGGGGACAATTTGCATAGTAGGCTTTTATTATATAGGATGTTTACAATGATTTCAGTTTCTATTGCCTTCAGATAAGATCTACATCTCTAGTCAAATGAACTTACTAGCAGTTTAACTCTCAAAGGTGCTCCATCTCTCTCCATATTAGAGATGACTTCTTTTTCTTTTGTCCTTGAAACTGTGTAATTCAATCTTTGAGAGACTTTGCAAACTCACCCAAACAGAAGACTTAAGATGCTCCTGACACCATGCTCTCAGAGTTAAGCAGTCAATAAATGTTGAATGAAAAAGGAATACTCAAAAAGAAGTTAAAATTAAGAGTTGAAACAGGGATAAAATTAAGTTGAACAGAGATAAAATGTTAACTGCCACAAGCACAAGAAAAAGTGTCTTTAGACAGAAATGTTTGAGTGACAGAGAGAATAGCCTAACTAGAGAGAAGTGCTTTAACATAGTTTCAGCCTCTTAAATTTCAACTCTAGCACTAGTT